CTTATGTATCTCTTAGCTTGTGATTCAGGGGTTTTCGGGTTTTGGGAAAATGTATTGGTTTTAAGAGTTAATATTGTGTATGTCGAGCAACACTTTTAAATGCTGTTTTATTACTCTATTTCTGTTTTAAATTATTTTCTTCCACAAATTTGGTTTATCTTCCGCATTTTAGGCTTACCTAGTCGTAGAGACTAGGTGTCATCACGATGGTTCACGGAGGGCGAACCGGGGTCGTGACATTGTGCCTTGGCGACCTCTAACCTCCACCGATGTGCATATTCTTGGAATAGCTCGGATGGTTTTTTCTGCAGGTTTCCCAGTGCGAACCGATCGAGAGTGATCTCTGTATTGAATCGAAAATGATTTATGAAGTCCTCCACCATATCTTGCCAATTTCTCCAATTTCGCGGATCCTGTCGAGTATACCAGGTGACTGCTTCTCCCGTCTAACTTCTTATAAATAACTTCATCCTTAGATTCTCATTCCTCCCCACTCCGACTAACTTATCACAATATGCCCTCAAATGTGCGTGGGCATTACCCATCCCATTGAAGATATCGAACTTTGGGGGTTTATACCTTGCTGGCATATCCACACCCGGATGAATACACAAATCCTCATAGTCCAAACTTTCACTTCCTCGGGCAACTTGGAGGCTCTTCATTTGCTTTCTCAAGATTTTCAACTACTTATATATTGACTCTTCTTCCTTACGGGCTGGCTTCCCTCTCTATTTTGGCATATTGGTCAATCTCATTAGGTACCCTGATCGTGACAGGCGTTGTAAAGGTAGATTCATAAATGGAATATATAGGGGGGAAATACCGCTCATGGGTAGCGGCATGTGCCACAGGTATGTGCTGGTTAGTAGTAAAAGTGACTTCTTCACGAGGAAGGGTGTGAGTTACAATGGTGGTGGTAGGCGGGTTTTGTGGTGTCTAAATGTATCGTGGTATGTAGGGAGTGTGGATAGGGGGATTTAGTGGGTTTTGGAGGAGGGGGGTTTCTAGGGGTATGACTTGAGTGGTAGGAACTGAAGTTAGGGTGTTGTTGTTTTGGCACGATGTGGAAGGAAAGTGATCAAGGATTGAATTCAAAGAAGGGAATCGAGGTGGTTGAGGAAGAGTTGTCATGACCAGGTGCACTAGTTCCATGATACGTTGCACTTCCTCCCTTAGAGACTCCATTTACTAGGCCATCCTGGCCACATGTTCATCATTCCTGGTGTCGTCATTTTCCCCCGATCGCCACGGGCTGTCGGCTATGACCAGAGCATGTTTAGTTGGGTTTTCTGCGGCTAACATCTTTCCTTTTGACCTTAGATTGTATGGTGGTTCCTCCAGTTTTGGTCGACACAAACTAAATTTCTTTTCTTTTCGAGGATAATAATAAAGCAAAAGAGAAATAAGAAGAAAGAAAAGAAAAAAGGAACAAGATTCAGTTTCTTCATTTATACAAGCAGGAAATCACACAGAGCAATTAATTTATCCATTAAGGCTAACACGTTTCCTAGAATTCGTGGGGACCTCTCATTGCCGAAGGTAGGCCTCGCAGATATTTGACAAACATTTAGACTTGACACATTTAGATCCAAAGAAATTTTGTTATCATTGATAATTTGGACTGATATAAATGGGAACAAAGATTACATCCCTGTTTCATATAACTGCATAGGCTTGGACAACTTCCCTTATAGAAAGTAAAAGAAAAAACTGGGGTTAAGTGTACAAAGTGGGAAAGATGGGGAAATCAACCAACTCTAATAACCATTCCCTGAGTCATTTCCCATCTCCTCCACTTCTGCTGGCTCTTCTTCCGGATCCTCCTCCGGGTCTTAGTCAAACTCCTCCTCGTCATTGGTGAACTCTGACTCTTTCTCCGGATCTTTTTCTGGCTCTGTGCTGGACTCTATTTAGATGCACTACATTACCCGGTTATCTTCTTCAACAAGTGGAAATATATGATCAATGGATCTTGGGACCTCTTGACGGTGCATCGAAGTAGTCACAAGGTAATGTGGTAGGATCTCATGGTATCTTTGCAAAGCAGCCACTCTGTCCTCCAACCAGGTTATACCCTCTATGCTTGGCCAAGCCAGCTCATCTTCCTCGTTGATCCAGACGTAATACTCAGGAGTGCACTACGAGTTTTGACCCATCGGCATTGTAACCAGGTTTTTCCACTCTTCTTGGAGCCTTCTTATCTTGGGAATTGGAATCTGTCCTTGTACTCATCCACATATAATGTTGTTCTTGTCCATAGAGGCACATCTTGGATCATCCCGAACTGTTTGAGGACCTGAAGGGGTGAGTATTGTTGAACACCTTCAAGTCCGATCAACTCAATGAAGTATTTCTAAAGAGTCCTCAAGATTGCTCTTCCACCTAACCATGATAGCTTCCAGTTGATCCATTCCCTATTCAGGTTCGTCAGCATTTCCCTCCACTCTTCTTGCCCATGTGGGGAGACTCAATGTCTCATTCTTTTGTTGTGGTTGTGGATCATGTTGCTGACACCCACAAAGTAGTCGATGGTGGCCTCTCGCTGGAACAAATGTTCAGTAGCCCAGATCTGAAGCAGCAACTTGCAACACTTAAAATCATACCCTCATGCACATGCAAACAAAGCCCTCAGTATCTCAGCTACCATCATCGGCACCAAAGTGGCTTGAAGATTGCCACGGAAGGCCGCCAGAACCATAGGTAATAGGTTGATATTGATCCAACCCCGTCTCTACGGGAAGACCAATAGTCCCAATAGTGCCATTGAGAAGGTGATAGGCCTGAGACTCTCCCACGTCTCTTGGTCACATTGAAATTCTCCCGAATACCACTTGTAGCTTTCACAGTGCCCAAATCTGTCGAACAGTTGGTCGAGGCTTACCCATCTGTCCTCGATACTTCTAAGACTCCTACTAGTGGCCAGGCCTAAAACATCCAAGAACCGATAATCGGGCATAGTAATAGGCAATATCAGCTTCCTTCTATTGAATGGCAGCTTCGTGAAACTCGTGACGTCCTCCAGTTTCGGTACTAACTCAAGGTCGACAAATTTGAATACCACTTTATCCGGGTCCCAAAATTCTATCAACAGTCGAGTTAGCACCCTATCTGCTCGGATGTTCAGCAAAGTGGTTAGTGCCCCCAGGTGCGTCCGAACGTTATCTTCGTGTTCCCGGCGAATATTCTTCCACTGCTGCTTCAATTTATATGGCGCTTCCATTACCATGTTAATCTTAGGGATGTTTCGGTTGATTTCCAATTCTGAGGTGGGTAAAGAAAATGTGTTTGGTAAGTGTTTGCTTCGGATCTTTAAGTGTCTTGTTAAGTTTGTTTGTCTTTCCACAAAAATAATGTCATTAGGTGCATGAACCGTTGACGTTAGGGTGGGTTTCCTAATTGTGTGTCGATGCCAAGGATCGACTCACCTAAGGTTTATGCAGTATGACCTATTTTTGCTAGAGTAGAGTTTTTCCTACTTTTGAGTTGGACTGAAGGCTGCGAGAAATTATGTCAGTTGACCTGACAAAGCCATTCTCTGAAACTAGAGAGTTTGAAAAGAAGGTTCGGATGAGTGTAAAAGACAACCCTCGCATGCCATTATGTGTGAAAGTATATGGCCAAGACTCGATAGGAAGAACTGTGATGACAGTATATGTAAAGCACTAACAGACAAGAATGTAGCAACAATAAGCATGATAATAAATATGAAGAGCAAATAAAGCAGGTAAGCACTGTCACACCTCCTTTTTCACCTACGCCCGCAAGGGCATAAAGGAGTTTTTCCAATTAAAGGACAATCAGAACGAGATTTAGTTATTAATTATTCAGAGTCGCCACTTGGGAAATTAATGGTGTCCCAAGTCACCGGTTATACCCCGAACCGAGGAAAAATATGACTCTGTTAACAGTCCGCGAACCAAAAATCCGGATAAGGAATTCTGTTAACCCGGGAGAAGGTGTTAGGCATTCCCGGGTTCCGTGGTTCTAGCACGGTCGCTCAACTGTTGTATTTGATTTTATCTGATTTCAAAACATGTTCTAGCTTATGTGCTTTTTAATTTTAAACCACTTTTATTATTATTATTTTAACGAGAATTGCAACGTCGTGAAAATACGTCTCGAACCACGTCACATAAATGCACCCGTGGTTGTTGACATATTTCGACTTCGTTGAGATTCGAATTTGGGTCACATAAATGCGCACCCGAGTTTAGGAAGGTGAATTATTAAAAACGCATCCAAAGTGTCTAACGCGCTATCATCTTTAGGGAAGGCCGTGAAATTCGCTAAACGGCCCATCTCGAATTCTAAGTATTTCATTATAACTAATTATTGAGGGCCCCGCAATTTATGTGTTTTGTTCAGCGAGGCTCGTCTCATTTTATTTTAAAAAGGCAGACTCTAGAGCTATTAGAATTTTCTATTTTTTATTTGTCTCTATTAATCAAGAAAAGGTCCTAATCAATTATTAGTATTAATAAACTAGCATTTGAAAGTGTTACACCGGCCGAAATTTCCCACAACCATGGACATTGGGCCTGAAGTTAGCCCAAATCAATCAAGCCAAATCGAACCGTCTAGGGAGCAGCTGGTCGAATCCCTGAAGTGGCAATCCAACGAATTGTTTAAATGTCTGCTCACTAACTTTACCCCAAACTCTCGTGAACGGGCTCCACTCTTCTGATAAAAGTAAATTAATATGCACTTACCTAAATCAATTGGATACTGACCCTCAAATCGTTCAAGAGAGTAATTATGTCGTCCTGATTTTAAAAATGAACAAACGTACTAATAAATTTACTCACGCTTGCAGTTACAAGACAAATGTTATACCTCCTAATTTGTTATGCTTTTAAACCAATTTATGAACCATCTGATGAGAAAACAACTAAGACTAAAGTGAACTATTAACTCCGACTACTGACTCATAATTGTCAAAGCTACTGCATTACGAAATTATTTAGGACGCATGTTCAGCATTAGAATAGAACTCAACGTGACAACACACCAGTTCCAGCTTCACCGCAAACTTGAACTGTTTATGATTTTGAATTTTTAAACAGAAAATTGCTAAGCTAAACAAGCTAAATCTAAGTAACTACAAATCAACAGTCCAGCAATCTAAATAACACAGTTCTACCAGTTCAGTTATACATTCAAATTGATTGTATCGTACAACAACCAAATCACATAAAACTATTAAAATATAATGAGATTCACAAACGACATATCTATAGCCGAAGCTCCAGTTTTCATTTCATTTTCCAGCAAGTGATCTACATAGTACTGAGTTTCATGGTGAGTACCTGGAGATGTGAAATACAATAAGAAGAGGAAGACGATCAGCAGCAATAACAGCCACGAGTAGAAATCAATCACCAGTAACTTAATTCAATAGCCACGAAGAGTTGGATACCAAATAACACCCAGGCAATCAACCACAAGTTACTACACCCAAATGCAATTGCAATTTGCCCAGAAACTACAACACTTCTTCAACAATCGAGAAATAACCAGCAATCACTCGAAATAGTTTCAAACACCTTCAGATGTCCTAAACACTCAGGTACAGGACAGAACCAGAGAAATCCATGCTACTTATCATCCTAAATGAATTAACTAGTGGAATAAAAAAACTGAAATTGGAAAATAACCCAGGAAAAAATAATGAAACCATTTTTTTTTGTTTCACATTTGTTTTCTGATTTTTAATAGAAATCTAAGATCTAAAAGGAAGTTTTTTGAACTTTTACTAATTTGAAATTCAACTATAGGCTCAGATCTGTAGAGAAGGCTTTTGGGGGAAATTTTGGGTGAAGAGCCGACCCTTTCACAAGGCAAATGTGACCCTATTTATAGGCAAACAAACAGCTCCTTATTTTCCTTTGAGTCCCTTATGTAATTTCACCCTAGTCCCTTAGTTCTTGACTTGTGCCACAAGTTAATACAACACAATTACTGAAATTACATTAAAGTCCTATTTTGGAAGACCCTAGAAGTTTCTAGTTTCTACTACCATGTGCTACCCAATCCTAAATGTCTAAACTACCCTTTATCTAAGCTGAAAGTTAACCAAATTGACCCATCCTCTTTACTTCAATTAGCAACTAAGATTAAATACTAAAAGGGATTCCAGAAAAGAAAATCAACTAAGTCTAAACAAAAACTCCTAAAGTTGTATTATCCTAACCCATTAATCACCAATGTAGAACTAAAGTGCTGACCCTAACTGAGTTCAATTACTTGCACAAATCCTTCGAGATCAAGCCAACCAGAAAATTGACAAAACAAGATCAAACCAAACTAAAATGGAGCAAAAGTAATTAATCATGAAACCATTTTACTGACTGAAATCAAAACTAAACCAAAACCTAAAACGTTGCCTAAGGCTTAATCAATGGGAACTAAACTTAAACAGTTGACCAAAATAGACTTAAGCAAATTCGAATCAACATTTAACAACCCTTAAACCAACAGAACAAAACACAATCAAACTAAAATTAAATTTAACTAAAGAGAAATCAAACCAGTGTTAAGATTGAAAAAAAATCACAACTAACCAACAATTTAGGAGAATTATTCATTGACTAAATCATAAGAAGAAGCAGGGAACACAGGAAGATATATAAAAAAAATGAGGACTCACAGCTTGACTCGAATTCTTTGATTCAAAATATGACCATCTTGGGCATGAATTTGAACATCAATGACAGCGAATTCTTCATGAAGGGAATGAGGAGACCGTGTAGTACCAATTGGGTAGTTTTCAGAGACATTAGAATTTCCGGCCAACTTTGAACTAATATTCGAGCCATTTGACTGATATTTGAGGGAATCCAGTGGGAGATTCTAGTAGAGGAGAACTAGGAGAGCACGAGGTGTTAATTTGGGGTGGTTTGGACGGAGTTGTGTTGTGGCCGGAGTTTTTCGATCCAAGATTTGAAGGCTTTGGCTGGGATTCGAGAAAAACTAATATGGGTTTTGGAAAGAGGAGGAGAAGATGAGTTGAGGGTGTATTTTTGGGAGGGATTGGAGCTTCACCGCCGCCGGCAACGATTTCCGGCCGGCGGCGGACGACGGAGGCACGGCGGCGTTACAGAGGGAGTGTACGAGGAAGACGAAAATGTTTTTTTAGGTTTAGTTAACATTTCAGACATTTTTATTATCTAACAAGAATGCACACGAGCCGTTGGATCAAAAAGAATGAAGGGCCAGGATTGAGTGACGCCCAAAACGGCGTCGTTTGATTTAGCTGGGGGCGGACCGGGTCAGGGGGTTTGGGCCTGGGTCGGAAATGGGTTCTGGTGGGAATTTTTATTTGGCCTGAGGTTTGGTCAAATTAAAATGAACCCAATTTTGGTCTCTTATTAAGACCACCCTTTTTTAATTGTTTTTCCTTTTATTCCTTTTACTTATTTTTGTTTTCATTTTGTATTTTTGTATTTTGATTTTTTCTGATTTTATAGAAATGCAAGAATAAAGATAAAGTCCTAATATATTTCAAAGTTAAACTAATTAACTCCTACAATTGTTTAAAATATATTTCGTGACGAATTCACAATTAAACAATTAAAAATGCAAAAATGAACTATTTTTGTTATTTTCTTCATATTTTATTGTAAAGCAAATTAACCCCTAATTAATCCTAAAATATGAAATTAGATCCTAAATGCAAATATATTTTTGTATTTTTCATATGAATTAAAATGCACAAATAAAATGCAAACAATTACAAGAAAATAACACAAAATTCACAAAAATTGTAAAATAATAAAGAAATTGTTTTGTTTGAATTTCTGAGAATAATTCATATATATGGCAAAAATCACGTGCTCACAAGCACGTAATTGAAATATTATCTACAATTAAAGCAATTGTACAAATAAATCTAGATTCCAAATTAGTCTAAGTCTGCTAAGATCAGAACCTAAGTGAAATTCCCCACCAGAGTCGCCATGTTGTTGCACCCTATTTTGCAATAGTCAAAATAAGATTCAACTTGTGGTTTCTCTATTGTTGATAAAAGAGAGTTGTCACCTGATATTTAAAGGTATACTAGGGTACCTATTTAATTACTAAGTCATATTCTTTATTTAGTCTGCTAACCGGTGAGATTATGGGTAAGAGTTCTTGTTCTTATAAGGGAAAATTGTTAGGCACCCCTTTAAATCTACCTGAGATAGCTCCTTAGGACTTAGACTAGGTTTGGAATCAATTATTTATACTATGCCCTAATTAGTGTTCTAAAGATATGGCTTACCGTTTATTAGGACATAATTCTTACAAAAGGAGGGTGCAGTTTAAAAGGATAGAGATTAATAGAGGGAAAATAACATTATTATATATACACTTGAAAGAGCTTTTGAAAAGAGATATAAGATATTTGTAAAGTATGTGAAAAGGAGGACTAAGTTAAACACTTGTTCTTAAAGCATGAGTAAGCCTAAATGTACCTTGATCTTTTAAACTTGAAGAAAAGCCATCTTTTTGAAAATTCATTTGGGGCGGCAGCACTTTATATTTTGAAACAATTTGATTCCCTTTTTTTTTAAAGAGAAAGCTTGCGAGTCAGATCTGATTTTCTTTTTTTGAAAGTGAAAATGCCCTTTTTTGCTAATTTTTGGGGCTTCAAAATCTTTGAGATAAGAAGGTGAGCTAAAACATAGTAATGATATAAACAAATTGTAATTAGCGAAATGAGAATTAGTTACTAACTAATTCCTTTTTAAATCCTGTGTTATTTAAGGTTGCCTATGTTTATATGATGTTAAGATATAAAATGGAGCGTGCAATCCAATATATAAGTGTTGTATACATGTAAGTTATAACAATGACAAAAGATGTAATAAAAGTACAACAAGGCAATTGACTAAATTAGCGAAGCAGTAAATAATAATAAAGGAGTTAAAGGAGAGAACTGGACTATAGAATTGGGCCTCAAAGAGGTACGCTCAACAGTAAAAGGATGGCAATAACTGACTTCAAACTTTCCAGAAAAATGCGGCAAGGCTGGGTTTTGGCCTGAGTTCCTCAAGAACTCAGCAGGCCCAAGCAAATGCACATGTCCAAAAGAATGAGAAGGTCATTAGATACATGCTCTATAAATTCAGCATATTCAACCATATGGAAATATATAAACAAAGGATTGGAGCAAAAATATAATAAAATATTAATACTCAAATACTAAGAGAAAATTATGCTATTGTGGTGGTCATACATGGCAAATAATTTATATTGAAAAATCTTTCGTTGTCATTAAATAATAAACCCCTAAATAAGCAAAAGTACCAATGAATTAAGGGATAAGGAGAGAGTTCTACTCAAGGTCGATGCCCCCTTTGAATTCCCCGACACTTCAAAGTTCCTAAGGGTCTCAAGGCCCAGGGCAATGCTTGTACCGAGGAGAGCGGCCCAACCTAGAGTTAAACTTCACTCCCAAATACCCCTAACCACTAACGACTCATTTTTTCCTATGGGTTTAAGTGTCAATGAGACCCTTTCAATGTAAACTAAATAATATAATATCCCCTACCATAAAAGTATACTTTCCCTCCTGATAGAATAATATAAGGATACATAAATGACTACATTTCTAACATCACATGAAGGACACACATATTAAATAAGTCAGATACACATGGNCAACTTCATTCTACAACTATATTTTTCTAATATCATATGAGGGATACATATATTAAATAAGTCAGATACACACGGGGGAGAATAGAACACTAAGCTTTACTGCTAAGGACCTGAACACTTGGGAGCATATTCAAAGGAATAGGTAAAGAACACAAAACTCAGATATGCAACAGCCCAGAAATAGATACTTCTGCCTTGGGAGACTAACTATGGGTTGATTAGCTTAGGTATTACCATCAACATTTGTATAGATTAACAATGCTACTTAGAAACTTTTAAAAGCATTAGTAAAGGTTCGGACAAACAGTTACAACTAGCAACTTTTACAGAGGTTATTAGAGATATCATAAACATGATCAAAACTCTTAATATGACTATAGATTCATAAATTTGAACATAGTATCCTAAGGTACCCAACAGGATCACATTCATAACAATATTAACCTTAAACAAACTATTATATCCAGTTAGTATCAATAAAGAACTTCTTATAAGATTTAAAGATCGGATTCAGTTCAGATTGTCGGTAAGGAGAGGATTGAGTACAATTTAAAATAAAAGCATGGGATCATGAAGCTAAACAGGGGAACATATAATATTTAAAATCAACTATGCACATATACTTTAATAATTATACCAAGGCGGGGTGAGCTTTACAAATCCAGCAATGCCATGAGGAGGTCAAGACAAAGAAAGTGTTATGCCAAAACAAACTCAACTCAGATATACGAACTGAGATTTTACATCTGAATATGGGGCAGTTATACTCAAGCTTAAAAATAGTCATAGATGTGTTTGTTTTATGAAAAACGGCTTGAAATATAATAGAATATAGACAAAAAGGTCATTGAAGTGCATAAGAGTTCACCTCAATAACACTGTTTCATATAGGTACAACCAACAATTGGATATGAATACAAGATTGTCATAATTACATCTCAGAAGCTATTCTCAGATATAACAGACATTGATATAGAGAAGGAGAACACTTAAACACTTAGACTTTCATGCTTCAGTTAAATGGTGAAGGATGCAAACTATGATCTCTCAGGTTTTGTCCTAATTAGGATTATCAGACAGTGGTCTTGGCCATAAGAATGCAGGAAAATAGGGTATAGAAAAAAGATCACAATAAAGGTCACAATAGAATTATTGACAGAAAATCTGAAGTTTTGACAAGCATGAAAGTAGTTAAGGCATTGGGAACTTAATCATGCAAACTATTAGGATCCAGAAATGAGAGTCATTAAAGTCATATAATAGGCTGGTCGATACCAATTTGAAGATATTCAGAAACATGACAAAGGATCACATATCAACAGCACCTTATCATGAACATGGAGATGATATTTTATGTTAATAATAACATCACAAAACGACTACAGTTAATAGAAGACAACAAGCATATTCATAACATTGTAATAAGATGATCGAAAGAGAAGATTTAGTGGAGTACTGACCTTCTCTAGGGCAGCAGACCAAACAAGTATTTCTCTTAATAGCTCAAGACCAAAGCTTCAAGCTCGAAGCAGTGAAATCCCTCAAAAATGAAAAAAGAGAAATCAGTAAGAAATCCTAGGATTTGGGAATCTCGGAATTACTCTTAGATGGTTGTTGGTCGTTTTTCTCTATTAGGTTATTCGTGTTTGGTAAGAACACTAAAGGCCCTATTTATAGTGCCATTTAAGACTCTTGGGCTTCACGGATTTAAAATTGTTAGTGGAAATTGATGAATGGTAGATGATACAAGCAAAATCGAGGGGAAAATCTGAGGAGATAGAGGAAAAATAATGAACAAGTTTACCGGAGTGAAGAAGGCTGACCGTGTAAGGCAAAACCCATAGGTCAAAACTCCAATATCTAGAGATAATTGTGTTTGACCTCTGGACTTCGAATAATTATGATGAGGCTCTGAAATGTGCTCGTGCATGCTCAGATTTAAAAGAACACGAAGAAAATTTAGAGATTTGAAGTTGCATCTTTGAGTCTAGGGTTTCAGATTAGGGGTTTCGAATTTAATCAACAAAAAATAGAAACTGAAATCACTGGCTTCATAACCTAGAGACAAAGCAGACAAATCTATAAGTTCGATTTGAAAGAGCGAAGAAGAAATCATGTCGCGGTGTTTTAAGCTTAGGGTTTCAAATTTAGGTATTTCAAATTTGTGATTGAAAGAGGGAATTAGCAGCGAGATTCACAGATAGAGAAACAGAAGAGATGATTTAGAGTGATTTCGGGTGACCTTGCACAAATTTGTACAAGGTTTTTGAGACTGATGGCTGTGGAGATGAGAGAAAAGAGAGAGGAAAGGGAAATGAGGGTGGAGGTCAAAGGGGGAAATAATCTAGAGTTCAGGTTAATGGAAAGGCCATCTCTAGGGTTATTGATGGGAGATGGAATCCAGGCTGTTGGATTTGATGATCAACGGCTCAGATAATTTGGTCATTTAGTATTTTCCGGGACGATTTTGATTGTCCG